TGTAATGCAGAGAATTAATACATGATTATTTCCGCCTGACTTCTCTCATTTATTAGAATTCTGTGGCAAATTCCAAATTAAAAATAGTTCAGTTAACAGCTTTAAAAAATACTTTTAAAATATTTTAAGATACCCCTTCCCCCATGTTTTTAAGTTGTATCACTTACTATGGCCTGAAAACTTAAAAATGTTGATCAGCCCTAAAGTGAGAATTATTATATTTTAGTAATACATTTTAGTAAATTTAGAATGAAATTTCCTAATAATTCTAAGAGGATTCATCTAGCAAACCAAAGAAACTTGTTACGGCAACTCATTAATGGTCTCTAAAACTGACTTCTAAGTTTTAAGAGCAAAAGGTATTTATAATTGAGTAATTTAAATGCAGACAAACATAGGATGAGGCTGGGACTCAAATCTGATTCCTTAGAAATGATACAAACGAAAGCATCAACAATGTTAGAAGTTTAAGATTAACTGGCACTGAGCACCTGTGTCCCTGCGTCTTTATGGTGCAAGCATATTTGAACACTGCACACCGGTGACTCACAAAATGAGCTGCTCCTGTTAACTGGTTACATCACACAACCTTGGAAAAGGACTAAATCTGGCTACCAGTCAACACATATTTACCATAAAGTTTTGTGTTTGTGTGGCTGTATCGGCTCTCACAATTGAGTTTGGGCATAGAATGTCCTTTTTTCTTTTCTTTTAAGCGTACCACATGGACAGCTAAAAAAGTTCCAAAGACATTTTCCCATAAATGGCTCACAAGGGCATGTGGTGGAAGCCCCAGCCACCTCCACTCACGGGCAGGGTCAAAATAATTTAAATTGGTCAGGACAGTGTCTGCAGATGCTGATTTCTAAGACAGCTCCACAAATTGTCTCTGTGGTCATACACTTATTTTGAATCACAACTTTTGCAATACTGTACATTCTAAATTTGAGGAGTTGCAGGTGCAGATGGTTGAGAGGAAGAAATAGGCAATATTGTACTTCATCTTACTCTCAAGATAGATCTAACCTGGTATAAAATTAACTTAATCATTCTTGATTATTTTTTAAAATTGTAGTATTCCTGCATCTGAGAACTTAGCACTGAAGTGTGCCTATCTGTGCATCTCCCCGACCCCAGACGCACCCCTGCAGCCTGTGTTGCCAGGCCTCCTTCTCCCTCCTCCTCCTCCTCCTCACTTCTCTGTTCCAAACTTTCAGTCATTGAGCTGCCTCTGTACAGAAGGGGATGTTCTGCTTTTAAAAGACGCCTGACTGTAAATGTCAAAGTCATAAATATTTAAACATCATTTTCTTTCAATTTCAAGTCAAGACTGATAAGATGCCTCTAATTAGTCTGGGCTCTCTTCGAGGTCCACCCGCCGTGGTTCAGCCTTGGGGGTCGGTGCCCACGGGGGAGAAGGCGCTGAGGACCACCAAAGCCACACCTGGGTCAAGACTGTGTCTCAAACTCACTTTTAAACTCATTTCTTTCTCCTAAAGGCCATGGCTAGCAGGAGTTTTAAGATATTTTTTAACTGCACAAAAAGGAAGGGAGTCAAGTCATTGTGAAGTTATTGGAACTCAATCACTTAAAAAAAAATTCTTTAAAGCTTCGTTTCTTCCGGGATTCCTAAGACCTGACTTGCAGCCAACAGTGTTTCCCTCCGCATCACCCTCCTGCTCAGCGCTGGGTGGGACACTTGAAACCGTCCTGGGCGTGGAGGGAGGACCCCTTTCACCCCTTTCTTCCTTTTCTTCTGCGGTGCCCGCGGGCGGGGAGGGAGGCGGGTTTCCCAGCCGGGCCCTGGGATCCACGACTTCTACGTCAGGCCGGTGGACCCCAGTCCGTCCCTCTGTCAGCGTTCCGCCCTCCCCTACAGTCAGACCCTCCTCACCCTCAGCCGCCGCGCTGCCCGCGGGCACAACTTCCCGACTGTCCAGGTCCCGCGGCCCCCCGCGGTCGCCCTCCCAGCCTCCCCAGGCCTCCCCCAGGCTGCAGGAGGGGCCTCCTTGTGGACCGGCCGGCGGAGGTGGGCCTGGGGCGGCTCCCACTCCTCTGCTGGGACAGCGCCGGCCAGGCAGCAGGGAGCCAGGCGAGGTTGGTGGAGACAGGACTCCAGGGGACTGGGGCTCCTTCCTTCCCCTCCGGGGGCGCCTGGGACCCAGCCGGGACCCGGGAGGAGGGCCAGGAGCTCTCCGGGCAATCGTTCTCCTTGACATTTTTCTTTGACCTTTGAGTAAATCCAAGCGCGCCAAGGGAGGCCTCGAAAGCAGGCCTTGTTCCACTCCTGGCTTGCGGAGCGCGTCGAGGGTCCCGGCTACAGCAGGTGTCTGCCTCCCTGGGAACAGCCTGGGCGGGCCCCGGGTCCCTCCTGCCGCCCGCAGGCCAGACCGCCTCCTCCGGTCCCCACGCGTCCCCTGCCCTCACCTGGCCTGAGTGACCGCGGGCAGCGCCTATGCCCCTTCCTTGGGGAGCCGAAGCCGGCGGCCGCCCTGCGCCTCGGGACCCCACACACCCGCGCGCATAGCCTGGGTGCCACTGCCGGGTCCGCCACACGCCGTGGCCCCGCCGCCCCCTCAGAGCCAGGGTGGTCACCGCGCGCGTGTGGGCCTCACGGCGCGGGGCAAGAAGGTTCCGAAAGTCCCTGTTCCCGGGCGCAGTCGTCCACGTGAGCGCGCGGTGTCCTCCCGACGTCCGGGGAGCGGGGCCAGGGTCCCCTCCGCTCTGGGGCGGGTGGAGGCGCGCGGGGGCCGTTGGCCCAGCCGGGATGAGGGGTGGGAGGACGGCGGGCGCCCCCTCCGCCGGTCGCGCCGCTTCCTTTGTTGTTCGTGTTACGTCGGCCAAGGCGAGGCGGGACAGGCGGGAGGCGAGGGGAGAGGGGCGGCGAGGGTCGCGCGCCAGGCCCCCGGGAAACGCCCTCCCGCCCAGGTGTAGCCCCGGGGGACGCGGCTCCGCCGGCGAACATGGACCCTGGGGTGGGCAGGGGACCTGGCCCCTGTCCCAGCGCCGCTCGGACCTCCACGCCGCTCAGATCCGGGGTCACGGCCGCTCATCCCCGCCTGGGTCCCCCCGCGTGCTCTGGGGTCCCTCGCGCCGGCCTGGGAGGGCACGGGGCGGGGCTGCCGCCCACCTGGGAGGACCAGCGCCCGCACGGGGACCGAGGAGACCCCGGCCCGGGGGAGGCGGCGCGTGGCCGCGCCTTAGGTTTCGTGAACTGGCTGTGCCCAGGGAGGGGCGGGGAGGGGCGCGCAGGGGACCCTGTGGGGGGACCCCGGCAGACTCTGGGGCTGGGTCGCGCGGCTCTAGAGTGACTTCTTTCTGGAAGAGGCTGTGTGGGCCGCAGGGAGGGGGAGGGGAGGGGAAGAGGCCGCGGAGGGAAGACTGGGGAGGGGCGCGGATGGGATCTCCACGCGGAGGGCCGCCGTGCGCGGCTGCGGGACCCAGCGGCTGCTGCGGGGTCCGAACCAAGCGGAGTTCGGGCCGCTCCCCTGGCTCCCGCCCCGCCTCGCCCTCCCGGGTCCCTCCCCACTCCCCTCCCCCCACCCCGCGCCTCCTCTCCCCTCCCCCCTTTCCCCCTCCCTCCCCCTTTCCTTCCCTCCCTCCCTCTCCGCGGCTCCACCGCCTCCCGCCGCCCGCGAACCTCGCGGTCCTCCTCCGAGCCGCGCATCCAGGCAGGAAAATCCGGGCGTCTTTTCTCATTTAACCCGCGTTTCCATTAACTCAGTCCCGGCACCAGCTAATCCGCTGCACCGAAGGCAAAAGGAGGCTAATTAATGACCAGCTTTTCCAGTCAAGACCGGCGATAATTGCTTTGGTGGCCTTTATGATTACAAGATAAAAACGGGCCCGGCCTGACATAAGAGGCACTGTGTACGCTGGGAGACGGGAGGAAATGAAGAGTTGGGAGGCTGAATACGGAGCAGAAAATTACTAATAGAAGAGAGATAATGAATAGGCCGGCCAGGCATTCATGGGGAAAAATCCATTTTGTTACCACGCGAAATTAGGTGGTGGAAAGGGGTTTGCTAATTGTTCTCATCTTGTAGCAGCCAGGACCGAGGCCGGGCGTGCTCCCCCATTTACTCCCCGAGTCATTGTGCAGGGCGCGAGGTCTGCGGGGCGGCCTTCCCATTTTCCTGTGGCGTCCTTAATTGTTGCTAATATACCTTCTAATGAAGCTAATGAGGGGAGAGCCATGCAATTCTTTGCACGTGGAGACAAGTGAAATGCACCGAAAGGACTTTCTCATATTTTCACCTGCACTACCCTCTCCCTGCAGAAGCAGTGAGAATCTGGGGGGGGGTTCTTCCCTGGGAAGTGAAGTTCCAAAGGCTCCTTTCAAGGAAAAATACGCAGGTGCGAAGTGTTGTGGTCTGCGCTAGGCCACTTCTGGAGAGTGGCTGGAGTCGGTGGGATTCGACCAGTGCTCGCCTTTCAAGACAGGTGGATCCAATCCCCTGACCCTGGGAGGGAGAATGTTCACGTGAAGATGCAGAGCCAGTCCCACGTTCCTTTGTTGCTGAAGATGTGCTGGGCTTGTGTGGCTACTTGAAGCCACGGCAGGGTGCAGGCCTGCCCACCCTCCTCCGCCGCCTAGCCTGGCCTCCCCCCAGCACCCCCGACAATCACTGTGCAAGCTCTGGACAAACTGCTGTGCCCGGTTAGAAGAAGGGATGGATACTTTATTTTACTGAAGGCAGCAAATTAGCTGCCAAATACTTTACATAAATTTGAAAAACAGCCACCACTGAGGGAAGAAGTGATGCCTGTGACTGTCCTCTTGAGCAGGCTGCAATCTGCGAGGTGCTATTTTCAAATGACTTCTGCTGCTTCTCCTTTGACGGGGGTTGTTCCACTGGGCCCTCCCATTGTGGCTCCAGTGCTAGCGCAGCGTCCTGTGGGGCTGAGCTTTCCACTTTCAAGTTGCATTTGGAGACGTGTGTTTTTAGGAGGTCATGCTTTGTCAGGAGCTAACAGACCCCTCTCTCCTTGTTCTGCAGAAAAGCAAACTCAAGTTCCTGCCTCCTCAGGCGGAGCAAGAAGACTCAACCAAGTTCATCGCGCTCACCCTGGTCTCCCTCGCCTGCATCCTGGGCGTCCTCCTGGCCTCTGGCCTCATCTACTGCCTACGCCATAGCTCTCAGCACAGGCTGAAGGAGAAGCTCTCGGGACTAGGGCGCGACCCGGGCGCAGATGCCACCGCCGCCTACCAGGTAAGAGGAGACTTTTTAAAAAGTGATATATTGGATTTATCTGTTGAGCAGGCAGATGATCGCATCCCTCTCTGGCCCCTCCTCCATTCCCAGCAGTTGCTCATGTATCATAGTTTGGGGTCTTTTATGATGACAGTTTGGAACTTCTCATCAGCATTGGTGCAAATACCTAGCAGCCACAGTTGTACAGCTCTGTAGTCATCTGCTCTTCTTGGATAGTCTCATGTTCGCTCTGGAAGTATGTTGTTAATTAGAGGTGTGGAAAAAGTACAATACACAAATGATGTATTATCTGTTATCTTAGTTTGGCCACTACTAATGAAAAGTGCCGGAGTTGTGAGATCAGTTGGTGTGTAGGTGTTTGAAGATGTCTCAAAAACCATCGGCCTCCTCGGGGTCTTCTGTGAAAAGATCCTTTGACCTGCCCAGTTACCACCCTGTGTTGTTGTCCGGTACAGTGGTACCTAATGCTGACCAGAGGAAAGTGACCCACGCATGTCCCCATGAGGGACACCTTCTCTAGAGGCACCACAGACACCCCTGGAAATGAGCTGCAAACCAGGGAGGATGCGAGGAAGGCAAGTTCAGACCAAGTCGGGCATTTTAAATAACCACAGAGTTTTTGAAAGTTCTATAGCACACGTTTCGTATTTGGTATTGTCCTGTAATGAATATAGGCCTTCAGTTTTAACGGCGTTACAAACCCAGAATACTTCCATCAGTCAAGGCAATTGATTCCTTTGCATATAAAATATCATTTAATTCCAAGAAGATATTCCCATTTGGGAAGGTAGAATGACTCCTTAACCACTGTTGTAAAAGTTTGGTCAGTACATATGTAAGATTTCCTCATTGGACTGGATCCTTTGTTTTCTCTAGTCACATGATTACAGTGTGCAATACATCTTGTAAATAATTCATCATTTTTACAGTCGTATGTAAAGTAAATATTATTATTCCATCATCAGAGTTACATGGGTGGGCTCTCACGCCTCTCTCCACGAAGCGCCCTCCAGCACCAAACCCTCCTGCTTCCTGAGCTCCTTGGAGCTGGCTTTTCTATACTCTGCGAGCTCTCAGGACCCTCCCCCACATAAGGAATTTACACAATCTCTATGCTTAAAAGAGCCACAAGACAGCTTTTCCTCCCATTTCCAACTTCCTGGGATTGCCACTGAATAGAGGAAGCCTCCAGTTTTCCGGAGAGGGTCACCAGCCCGGTCAGGACGATCTTTTTCTTATAAAGAAATGGCAACTTCAGATGTGTTGAGGATGGCATTTCAGTTGCAGTGTGTAGCTTTGCTTCAAAGCAAAAGGAAAATCACGTTTGAAGAAGCAGCCTGAAAAAAATGTCACATAAACTAGTAAGAATTTATCCAGAAATTCCATTGAGCAAGACCTTCAATGCGGATGCCAGGTCTTCAGGCCAAGTCTGTGTCGGTACATAAATAAATTATCACACCAGTTCTGTTCCATGTGTGAGAGACGGAAGATCATACAGGCAGAGATTTTTAGAAAGCGTGGCACCCTTTGATATACTTTGAAATTCAAATATAAAATATTGATAGAATGGAAAGGTTAGACTTGCATGCAGAAATGACTAATTTGAAAAAAAACTGCAGGTTGAAAATGCATACTTAGGACTGAGTTTGTGATAATTAACAGAAAAAAAAAGCCTTCCCAGTGACAGCTCTAATTAATAGTATCTGTAATTAAAATCATGCCCTTCCAGCAGGAAAATTGTTTGAATTTCTTGGAGTGACCTTTTTGCTGTTCCTCCTGAGGGCATGGTGGTTAAGTTGATATTGATTTTATAATGAGCTCTGGTTTGTTTAATAAGAATCTGTAATCCAGACAATAAATGAAATGTGTGCTTTTCTTCAATCCAGATTAATAAAAAGGAAAAAAAAAAACTTTTTTTCTTTAAAAATGTGATCTAGGAAAATTTGGAAATGAAATGAGTGTAAAGACTCTCTGGTTGGTTTAGCTTTGAATCACTACAAAATACCCTTTAGGGAAGTACTTTGATTAAAGTGGGGGTTTGCCCCATCACAGTGGATTGTCTCCTGGTGAGAAAGTTCTAGGTGCTGAACCGTTGTGTTGTTGTGATTTGTGTTTTGGCAGAGCAGGACTCAGTAATGAGGATGGGGACTGTATGATTGTTCGCTTTGAATTTAGCTGAGTAATGTTTCAAGGACTCAGACAATTGCGGTTACAAGGAGAGGATATTTACTTTGGTAAATGAAGCAGGTATTAATTCATTAATGTTTCCATATCCCACTTGGGTTTTCTCTCACAGCCATGAGTCCCCCGTGAAGTGTAAAAATCTGTTTGAAAAGTTTTTTAAAATATTGCAAACATAAAACAAATTTCAGGAAAGGTGTCGTCTTGCATTAATGTGTTTATTTCTGGCTCACTGAACCTGTGTACTTTGCTGATTCTATAATCACAGTGAGGTTATGGATGATAATTCTCATCACTGGGTTACAAGGAAAATGGAACAATTTGATCTTATGCTTTATTTTATGGGGACATGATGGAATTACTCAATTCCTTTTCTTAAAGCTTCTGAAAAATAAAAAGATTGTGCTAGTGAGGTTAGAAGTAAGTAACCTAGGAGCGAGAGAATGGTAGGTGGCAATAGCATAAGTTTTATTAATATCAGAATATGAAGTTACCTTTTAAACAAAAGAACTTGTGTTCTTACCTGGGGAAGGAAGGTCAGGAGCAGAGCCGTTCTGATGGGGTGGAGGAGACGGGTGTGTGGAGGTGGTATCCCGGGGGGCACTGGTGACCTCAGGTTGTAGAGCTCCTTCCTCCCTGAGGTTCCAAAAGGTGAATCCTCGTGTCCTCCGTTAAACTGCAGCCGGGTTAGTGTCCTGGCAAGGCACCTCCAGCATGACCTGGGAGGCCCTCGTGTTGCCAGCCTCTGACAAAGCATTTGTTTGCCTCAGCCCGGATCATGCACGTACATCATGAGTGCCTGTGCAGCCCCTCCGGGCCCCCATGTGTGTGAGTCAGAGCCCGGGCTTGGGGCCACAGGGGCCGTGTTGTGCTCCTCGGGAGTAAGAGCTTTTCTTAAAACAGGGTTGAAGCAGTAAGGAGGTTGAATTCTTAGCTTCTAATGCAAACACCTTTAAACGTGTTTACCTGTCCTTCCTCAAAATAGAACTATTTCACAGACAGGGTCAGGATTTTAGAGCTTCCTTCGTTTACATGAGTGTGTGATATTTTTGTTTGCCTTACCTATTGGGAAAGCAAATCTTTTTTGACAGACTCTCATATTTTTGACACCAAGATATCAGCCCCATCAGATAATCCAGCCAAGTTTAATTTGCTCAGACTGGAGCAAAAATTGGGGATATTAACTTTCAGAATAACTGAAACATATTCTGAACAGACTGCTCCCTCCGAACTTCTCCCCATTGTTTTAGTAAATGTTGATTTTTCTTCTAAATAGATAAAACATGATATATTTGGATTAATTCTATACTTCATGATCTGAAAAACCAGTTTCGGCTTTTATTCTTTTTTTTCAAATTGACGTAGCCTGCCATATATGCATATATGTGTGTGTATATATATATATTTATACACACATGTACACACACACACACTAAGGATAATGTGAAGACACAGAAGAATTGTGATTTTTGGTATCAGTATACTTTATGCATTTTTTTTCATGTAGGTGTCCTATTTCTATGGAAGGTGATTGGGTAAAAACTGTGCCCAAAATAAGTCGTTAGATGATTAGAAGACATTCTCCTCCTTTTCTCTCTGAGTCTCTTTGAATGTTGCATCCATTTCCTTGAGGCTTTGATCATCTTCGAGCAGCAAGTTTAGTATTCTGCCAGCCCACTCTCCCTTCCCCGACATGAGGGCAGAGACTCCTGCAGAATTTTCAGCAAGTTCTCTTTTGATGGTTTATTTCACAATACCCAGCAGGTTTCCTTGTGTACTTGGAGGCCTTTGGAACCAAACCCAGAGGAAAGCATGCATCCAGGCCACGGGGACCTCCTGTAAACAGAGCGGCTAAGTGCACATCTCAGTTGCTGCTGTTGCTCCCATTAGCAAGTGATTACGAATGCAGTGACAGAGTGGTGGCAACTGCGGCAAAATGAGGGTGCTCAGTTGACTGGGGCTGGTGTGTCTGCAAGTCCCAAATGCACCCTGACTTCTTACCCCCGGTGCAGAAAGCTGAGTTCTGACAAAGAGCACAGGTCACGCCTTGGCTCACTCTCTGGGGCTTTAAGAGACCCTTCTTTCTCTAGATGAGTTTAATCTTCAGGCATTGGTGTAATCACAAGTAATAGAAGTAGGATGTTCACAATTAAATTGGACAACAATTACTTTTCCTGAGGTTTACTTGACCCCACCACAAGTTTTTAACAAAGCCTTTTCAATAGCTCTGTATCTTAGAATGGCTTTCCTCACTATATACTTAAATTTCCAGGTCAAAATAATATATTTTTTACAAATATCAAATAAGCAAAACCTATGCTGCTTCAAAAGTGAAGGGCACCCTGTGAAAACTGTGCCAAATATTTTATAATTATAAAAATACAACATTACAGAACATTATGAAATAATTATTATTAGAGAACATTTTATTATAACAGTCAAGTCTGAGAATGGAAATTTTTCTAATTTTATAACACCTTTGCAAATGTAGCTGATAGTACAGATGTCTACAGGTAATACTCTTGAAACTTTCGAGACATGGATTCAGTTTTGCAGATTATCCTGGAACAGACTCCAGGCCCCTGGAGGATGAGGCCCTGCCACCGTCCTCCCATGGTCCATGGCGCCCAGAACGTCCCTGGCCTCACTAGGAATCAGCAAATGCTGAATGGTTGTCACACTGGTGCCAAATCCCATCGTTCCTGATGTGAAGGAAATCTAAAGGAAACCTGCAGAATGTTGCCAGGATGATGAGGGTAAAGGACACGTGTCGTCCCCAATGTGGGAAGAACCTGTTTTTGTTTGCCTGTGTGTTC